CACTAAAGCAAGCAATTTCCTGGTGGTTCGCTGGTTAAGAATCCACCTGCCACTTCCAGGGACGTGGGTTCGATCCTTGATCCAGGAAGATCCCACATGTTGGGAGCAACTAAGACTGTGCCCCCAGAGTCCATGCAACTAGAGAAAGCCCCCACAGCAATGAAGACCCAGCACAGCCCTAAATTAATAAGAAAATAATTTTTAAATTAAAAACAAACACCGAAGCAGACGTACTCCCAGACTAATAGAAGCCTTGAGCTGCTCTGCAGTTGCCCCGGGACCACTCCCTCCAGAGGCCTGTGCGCCTCCGGGCTAGCCCTCCACAGGCCGGTCTGAGCCTGTCTCTCCTACATCATCTTCCCCTGCATCTCCCAGGAACTCAGCCAAGTTCCCCAAGCTTCCTGGGCCTCAAGAATCAATTTCACAGGTTGAGGTTTGTTTAAAAAAATAAGCTAAATAGATTCTTGGGTCCCACCCTGTGACTCAGAATCCAGAGAGGCCTGGGGTCCAGGAATCCCTTTTATTTTTAAAGAGCCCCAGGGGATTCTTATTATCAGGGAAGTCTGGGTAATAACTTCTCTGTCTCTCTGCGAGTCTCAGCACTGACCCACATTAGAGCCGTTTGGAGAGCTTCTAAAACTAGCAATGCAATACAGAGGATTCCATTCCCTAGAGAGGGACTTAAGTGGTGTCAACTACAGACTGGTGCTTGCCAAGGGCATTTGCCATCTGCCTCGGAGGAGATTGAATCCTCTGTGGCTGCAGCTGTTGACATGCCCTGCAAGGAGTTCAGTGTGGAGAATGAGGCACTTTGTGCTCCACGGAAATTGGTGTAACAGGTCTTTCAGTTCAGTTCAGTTCAGTCGCTTAGCTTAGCTTAGTTTCCAACTCTTTGCGACCCCATGGACTGCAGCATGCCAGGCTTCCCTGTCCATCACCAATTCCCGGAGCTTACTCAAACTCATGTCCATTGAGTTGGTGATGCCATCCAACCATCTTATCCTCTGTCGTCGCCTTCTCCTCCTGCCTTCAATCTTTCCCAGCATCAGGGTCTTTTCAAATGAGTCAGTTCTTCAAATCAGGTGGCCAAAGTACTGGAGTTTCAACTTCAGCATCAGTCCTTCCAATGAATATTCAGGATTGATTTCCTTTAGGCTGGACTGGTTTGATCTTCTTGCTGTCCAAGGGACTCTCAAGAGTTTTCTCCAACACTGCAGTTCAAAAGCATCAATTCTTTGGCGCTCAGCTTTGTTTATAGTCCAACTCTCACACCCATACATGACTACTGGAAAAATCATAGCTTTGACTAGATGGACCTTTGTTGGCAAAGTAATGTCTCTGCTTTTTAATATGCTGTCTAGGTTGGTCATAACT